CAAATAAGTTGTCACCCCTGAGGACTAATTGGAATGCCTCGATTCCAGCAAGAAGGGGCTCCGGTTCCCTACACTCACCATACGAAACACAGCAGCATTACGCTGGTACTCTGTGAGAGCGTGGTCCTGCTGCAGTCGAGCCGACCCATTCGTGCTACAACTATAATAAAGCTGCAGCGTGGCTCTACCACTTAGTAAAGTAAGCAAACAAAAAGTTTCAACAAATAAACACATGTACAGAAATGTATTTCTTTTTCCACCAGTACAACATATTACGTAAACATTAAATGAACATACATTTATGATGTCAATGAATGTTTATATTATGCGAATTAATCAACATGATGATATAACCTGTGGCTACGCCTGATTTCTCTACACAAACAACAAAAACTAGTTACAAATTATGTAAACAGCGTCAGGTGGATAGGTCAACACTCTACCAGACGATTTATAAATATTTAAAATAGATGTGGAATTATTTGGTATATATTTATTGAAATTCTGTCTCAACTATAAAATGACATGAGAATAAAACATTATTACTTACTTACTTATCTTCACGCACAATCCCTAACGGGGTAGCCAGAGAGAACAGATCGCCAAGTGTCACGATCCTTACATACCTCTTTCGCTTCTTTCAGGTTCATTAACTTCTTCATACATGCACGTCTAGGTATCCGAGTACTCTTGACCCTCCCCTCTTCGAGCAATTTGCTCACATGGTCTTCGAAAGTTAGTCTCGGTCTAACTCGACACCTTTTAATATTTACTTTCGCTCTATATATTTTCTTCACCATTCGGTCTTCACTCATTCGTTCAACGTGCCCAAACCATTGGAGTACGCCCCTATCAATTTTTGTGATAAGGTCATCTTTCAATCCTGCCATATTGCGAATCTCTTCGTTTCGCTTTCGGTCGGCTAAGGTAACGCCGCACATTTTACGAAGAGATCGCATCTCCACTGCATTCAACTTGCTTTTATGCTTCTTCTGGCATACCCAGGTTTCGCTGCCATACAACAAAGTCGGTACCAACACTGCATTATGTATTGTAAGGCGTGCACTCTTTACCACGCCTTGCCTTTTTACTAATGCATTCAGGGCACCATTGACTTTGTTTCCGGCAGCGACACGCCTGTCCACATCTAAATCACATCTTCCATCCCGGCTGAAAGCACTCCCCAAGTATACAATTTCATTTACCTGTTCTAGACATTATAATATGCCTTATATATTTACATTATATTTCGCTGCGTTTTACACTGTTTATATAAGTCCAGCTGTGTGGCTGAATGGAAGTTGTTTTCATCAATTTATTAAGGTTCAGGCTGTAAAAAGACAGTACTACTACTAAAGTTATGTAAATAAGGAGCGCGTATATCATAGATACATTTTACAGCAATCGATACAATTTTATTTAAGAGAAAGAAGCCCATCTTGTACTGCTATACTGAATAAAACTTTTTCTTCATATTATAAAACTATATCATCTACAACATGGCATTAATGAATTCAGCCTTCGGTCTTCTTTTTTAACTTCATTTTTATTGAATCTGTTTTATTTCCTGTTAGCGACCAGTCCTGGCCCGCTTGAGTAGGGTCTATCAACGTGGCGTAATTTACATTTAAGATAATCAAAGACCATTTTATTTAATACATTAAAAGTTTCGTTTTTTTTAAATCTATTATTTTCGGATAAAATATAGCATAGATCAATCCAGGCATTGCTTTCTATATGTTGTTACTTGTTATCATCGTCGTCATCGCGTAATATTTTAATACATTTACAATTTCCTATTACGTTGTCGTTTGTGCTTACATATTTCATAGGATACACATTCTGTAAGCTATGGATGTGAGAGCATGGTCCTACATAGCGATCTGCATGTTTTAAATATATTAAAAAGGCATTTAACCGTGTTTTTGCTACAGTTGTAGACTGTATATTTTAAAATATATCGAAAATTTTCGTTGGTAACCATTGAACTAAATTGTACTAGGTGCCATAGTACATAGTATCTCGATGTTGGTAATACTTATTCTCATTTTTTTTCATAACTCGTCGTTATATTATAAATAGCATTCTTATAGTTGTAAACTTATGACGTATACTTTATCGATCATTTTACCAAGTCCTTTTTAGTATTGTTTTCCCTATATAATTTCCATGTTCATTTCTTTAGCTAACCTTTAATAGAGCCACATTGCAGCGTATTGTAGTTGCAGAAAGATTTTTTTTATATAAGTAATAAGGTTACAAAAGAGCACACAGTCCACCTGATGGTAAGTGGATGCTGTGGCCTACAGACATCTACATTTAACCTCCATTAAGAATAAAATGCAGATGCGTTGTCAATCCTGAGGACTATAATGGAATGCCTCGATTCCAGTAAAACGGGTCTCCGGTTCTTTACACTCACCATACGAAACACAGTAGCATTAAGCTGCTATTTGACGCTGGTATCCTGTTAGAGCGAGGTCTTCCCCGGTCGAGCCGACCCATTCGTGCTACAACTATAATATAGCTTGCATTTTTGTACACCTTAAATTTCAGGGATAATAATGCACCTGGACTTGGATGCATCTATTGACCATCATCAGGTGGACCGCGTGCTCGTTCGTCACCCTTATTTATACAAAAAAATCTCTAGACGACTAAAGTTTATTGTCCCATTTTATTTCACTATTGGAAAACATTCTTAGGTCAGACGTTAGATAACCCTTAGTACAGAATGGATGAACTTTTTCATATTTATAACACAGATAACTATGAGTTAACTAAGTGACGTTTTTGTAAATCTTTGAAATTTAGGACAGAATACTTTGAAATTATTTGATTTGGTTATATATTCGATTTGTCTGAAATCAGACTTTTATTTTATAGAATAGGGGTGACAAACGAGCACACAGTCCACCTGATGGTAAGTGGATGCTGTGGTCCATAGACATCTACATTTATCCTTGATTAAGAATCAAAACGCAGATGCGTTGTCACTCCTGAGGACTATGATAGAATGCCTCGTTTCCAGTAAAAAAGGGTCTCTGGATCTCTACACTCACCATACGAAACACAGTAGTATTAAGCTGCTATTTTACGCTGGTATTGCAAACCTATAGTTCACATTACTTTGGTAGTACGTAAAAATAAATAATGAGTTAGCTTTATAAATTTTAAAGTGTAAAATTGAAAGTTTTTCCTCAATACTTAATTTTTTTACTTGTATGTCTTTTTCGTTTATTGTTTATATGTAGCAATAACTTTTTTAAAGAAATTTAACATGCAAATGTGAAAAGGCTCTCTAAGAATAACATCGTAAAATAATTGAGTATATTTCGACAAAATATATTATCAATTTAACATGGCTGTAGGGTGGCGGTTTAATATAATCTATCATCCCATTTCATTCATGGGAAATGTGTGAAAAATCACAAGACATTCGATATAATCATTCCATTTACACCAGAGGTTCGATAGTCAAACTAGCAACGGGATGCGAGACATCTGCTATTGCAATCGATAATTCGCCTGCCAAATTGCAGATTGTGAGAGGAGGCCCATGGACATGGAACACCTATGGTCTTTTAGGGGTTGATGAAGACAAAGAAAAAGATAATCATTTGTTAAAATACGTTGGATCGTCACAGCTATTAAGAATATAATTAGTTTTTGTTCAAAAAAGACATGTCTTAACGGCTTATGGTTTATTTAAGGACACAACACACGTTTTTTGAAACCCAAGTTTAAAGAGCGACTATTAATATTAAATGATAAAATTTTTAATGAATTATATTTATTTATTTATTAAGTCTTTATTGTACAATGAAATACAGAATACGAATAGAAGCACAACTATATTTGTGCAACAGGCGGTCTTATCGTGTAATTGATTTTGTAAGTGATCTCTTCCAGACAATCTTTGTGTAGAGGAGGAGAGATTTATATACTCATTAGTGTTTTAAGACTTAGAATACTAATATGTATATAATATAATAAATTCTAGTTAAACTTTTTTTGAATTTTTTTTTAAGTCTTTTGGAAGTAGCAGAAGATTTAGCATGACGAATGTGAAGAGGTGGACAATCCCACAAACACAGTAGTAACAGTAAAAGATTTTAATCTTTTACTACAAAAAATCACACGCGCATATTTTTTTATAGTATAGGGATGACAAACGAGCACACAGTCCACCTGATGGTAAGTGGTTGCTGTGGCCCATAGACATCTACATTTATCCTCGATTACGAATCAAAATGCAGATGTGTTGTGACCCTTGAAGGCTAAGACGGAATGCCTCGTTTCTAGTAAAAAAGGTCTCCGGTTCTCTACACTCACCAAACGAAACACAGCAGCGTTAAGCTGCTATTTGACGTTGGTGTTCTGTTAGAGCGTGATCCTTCCCCGGTCGAGCCGACCCATTCGTGCTACAATATAGCTGCAACATGGCCCTACCACGTAAAATGTGCGTGATAACTGAAAGTTGATAACATTATGTTGGAAACATTTATTCACTAGTGAACTGTCATTGCATAATTGATCTAATTTCGTTATGCGGGTAACAAAGTGCATAGTTGTTTATTTCCCTATAGAAAATACGAATTGTTTCAGTTCATTAAATACAACATTAATAGATACTATTATTATATTTTAATAGTTGCACAACAATTTACAACATTAATGATAAGTTGTTTGAAAATGTAGTTTGAGGACATTTTTTTTTTCAAAATAAACAGGACTTTTTCAGAGGACTTTTTTTTTTCAAAATTTACGCATAAACTTGTCTTCGGTACTTGATTAATAAAATCACATGTACATGCAAATGTACATTTACCACTGATCCATACCCTTTAAACGCATTGTTGCTTAGTGGTAGAAATAGGTAGAAGATACCCATTCATACAAGCTTCTGGGCAGAAAAGAAGTCTTACCGTTACAGTAAACGACGTATAACAACTAGAATTTAAATTTATCGAGATATAGCAAATTTTCATTCCGTTTACCTGTGCTTGCTTGAGCCTATGTTCGGTTCGGTGGACGGCCAGCAGCGGTGTGACGCGGACGAGAAGCCGCCACCAGGGCCAGTCGCGCACAGCCAGGAAAGCTCGTACGTTTCGTTGCACACATCTGAGGGTAGACATATTTTTTCATAAGTCTTCATTTTTTTTAACTTTATACGCTTTGGTACAACGGTCTTTACCGCTTCATCGGAATAAAGCTGAAGAATCGGAAGCTGAAGATTCAAAAGTAAAGATGACTATTAATTTTTAACTCTTACTTAAGATCATGCGGCTCAATCAGTTCAATGAACTCCTGTCTGTAAAGTTCCGAAGACGAACTATATATTATAACTATCGCAGTGTATCGCATTATAATTCCGCTGCTAAAGTTAGGCATTCCCTTGAGAATAACAAAAAGCCCGGTTCTGCAATTACAATTACAAAATAAAGAAAACTCTAAGTGCGTTGTCACCTTTATCGAATACTCAAACGCTTTTACTTTTAAAATGCCGTTAAGTCTCTTGCTGTCTCTGTCACTTTAAGTCAAAGTGACAGAGACTTAACATCTTAAAATTGAGTAGCGTTTGAGTGTATGGTAATTCATAACTCCAAAACGAATAAACCGATTTAGGTTTAGTTTTCTTTTTTGTTCGAAAGGTGACTTGATCGGGAGCGTTTTTAGCTATGACCACCGTTTGAAGATCACCAGCTCTTATTGTTTTGGAGTTTTTCAAAATTTCCAATTTACTATTATTGTTCTACAGCTATTAAATATATAAGAAACTCACTGATCATCTCTTTGGGCGAATATAATTGAAATTCGCAAAGGCAGCGATTATCGCGATAACATCTTTACGATGACAGGGGAAATGAAGATACGACACTTCTACGTGCTCTATCTGCGACATACCGATTCAGTGAATCTCACTCGCAGGTCACGTACCTACCTAGCAGAGGTATCCCGCATAGTTTCACCGGTAAATTACAAACTTTCTTGAATTTATACAAGTTAATTTTTTTCTATATTGTCTGTAATACATGTTGGTCTTCGTAAAAGTCATCTTTCAATGTTTATGTCTAAAATATTTTTAGTGAGTAGTAAGAAATAGTCTACCCACTATTCGATTAAAATACTTTAGGTGAAGTAGCATCTTTGAGTATGCAGACGAGATTTGTGGAGAGTAGACGACACTGATCGGAAGGTCATGACGTTGAGTCTATAGTTTGAGCAGCTATAGGGAAACCGAAGTTCTTATAAAAATATTTCATTAAGTATTGCCATATTTTTATAAGAAATTCGGGTAAGAATCCAGTAGAAATTCTAATCCTTCATAAAGCATACGGCCGTTTGGCAGTGGAGTACTACTGGTCCAAATGGGCTGATACAGAAAAACAATACAATACAATATGGGCGTGTTCAAGGCAAGAGTGTAATAGGCTTTTGTTACGCTAAGACAGTGCGATTTACCATCTAAGGCTGCATCACCACTTACCACCAGGTGGGATTGTGTTCAAGCACTGGCATATTATAAGTAAAAAAAAAACGTGTCAAGAGGCTGTCGGCGACTCTGATTTGACTGACTGCTAATCCTGAAGTAGCACAAAGCGAAAGCAAGAAATAAGTCCAAGCACTCGAAGAACCGATAACCGATGGGGAAGAAAGGTTCTCGAGTGGCAGCCTCGTACCGGTGGGCGTAGTGTAGGTACGACCTGGTAAAATATGCAGGAAGTCGATGGATGCAGGTGGCTCAGGACCGTGCTTTGTGGCATTACTTGGGGGAGGCCTATGTTCAGCACTGGACTTGTGAAAAGCTGTAATGATGATGATGATGATAGAACTGACTGCAGTATCCCTGTGTTTTATCGGATATATTTTGAAGAGTATACGCAGGAATCGAACAATTTGATTACACTATCCCCTTTTAATCATAGAAAAATGAGAACCACGGCGGACTCCAACCCTTTCATTGTAAATATGTATATACGTACAAATCCGGACGTGGGGTCAAATACGACTGTCCACTCACCGGGCGGCAGTATGCTGAGTGCGCAGGCGCTGAGCACGTCGGCGAGCGAGCAGCCCTCGAGCTCTGGCCTGCAGGCGCACCAGCACCCGGGCGAGCGCGGCGTCGCGGCGTGCATCCAGTCCGCCCACCACGCCGCCGCGGAACATAATCTGCGACAAACAACACACAATTAGCATAATTTAAAAAAACTTAATGGACAGTAGGTATATTTATATCATGATAAGTGCTAAGAAATTCAGTAAATTAGATAAATAGATCTTTACTAAATTATATAAATAGATTAGAGTTCGGCCGATTAGTCGCCGACTAATCGGTGAAGCCGACTAATCGGCCTATTTGTAGTCAACGATTAGTCGTCGATTAATCGGCTAAAATGGTCGATTCGAATCGAATCGGCTTTTTATTTTATTAATTTCAGCAAAGGTGATTTTCTGCGCGGTAAGTGCGGCTACATTGATATGAGCAAAGCTTTAAATTTAAGAAAAGTATAGCTTCTCTCCCATGCGTAAACTCACGTCAGATTTATATGTAGGTAAATCAAACAAACAATAAAATGAGTAGGTTCATACATAACTCTTATTGAAAAATCAGTCTCACATGTTTTAATGTTAATTATTCTGGACATGGGAACTTTGGTAAAAAAAGAACCTGAGGTAGCTATTTAAATTTAAAACTAAACAAAAACCTAAGTACTTAATATTTTAATTCCTATTAATATTACTCTTAATAAACTTAAAAAAAAACAAATTTTAAGTCTCTACCTTTGCATAACAAAAAATAAATACTTAATTCTTGAATAAAGTTTGTTAAACCACACGCATATAGATTTTTAAAAGACAAATAGAACATACTTGTTTTTGTACTTAAAACTAAATTGTTATTGTTTTTGTACTAAAAATTAAATCAAATTGTTATTTTTCTGTACTTAAAATTACAATAAATTGTTTTTTCCTGTAATGTTATTAAATAAATAATCTATAATCATCTAATAATTTGTTAAAAAGAAATACTCAATTTGAAAAAGTATTGAAGTCTTTTTAGAAAATATTTAATTTATTTGTTATTTTTACGCAGTGGCAAAATGTGATGCAAGAGGCCAAAATCTCAGACTTTTCTGATTGAAGTCGATTATTTCTTTTTGTTTCGTAGATACTAGATATTTCCTGCCTCAGAAAAAAGTCCCCCACTATACACAGAGCTGGCGGGGCAGCAAAGGAAAACTTTGGCTAAACGGGACATTTCTGGATATCTGGAAGCATTTTTGTTCCACCATTTGAATCTATCATCGGATAGGGATCGGCTGGGCCGATTAGTCGGCCATTTACTTAACCCATTAATGGGCTGATCGGCCAATCGGCCAATGTACTAATCGACCCAAATTTAAAATAGATGTATGTATATCGTACGTAGAAAAGCCACATTGTAGTTATATTATATTTGTATCGTAAAAATTAAATGAACAATATAGCAACAGATCTCTAGAGTTGTCAATAAACCCATAAAATATTTTAAATGGAACTAGAAAGTACAACAGTAAATAATGTACAGCGTTGACTCGCTAGTGAAGAAGACGAAGATAACTATAACGCATATATATTGTATATGCACATACGTAAGATACATAGCAAGTTTTATGAGTTTTACAGAACGGACATTTTAATCATTCTGGATTTTACTTCAAAAGATCATAATACTCACTACCTAAATGACCTAAATATTACAATAAACAATAAACATTACGCGTAACGTTCTTACTTTGTTAAAGAACTTTATAGTAACGAAAAAAAGTTCCTAAGAGCAGGAAAGCGAATCATTCAAATCAATGTCAATCATGAATAAAATGTTCAACTGGTTAATCATAATTTTAAGCGTTGATTTACAGTTCAAAGGTGATACGGTCAGAGCTTTTATTGTATGGTCTGAGTAATAAATCTCGAACACTATTGTACTATTTTTTTTTTTTTTTTTTTTTTTTTTTTTTTTATATATATTATAACAACGCTAATGTCATATAAGTATATAATTTTATTAGTAGTGATAATCGGATAACTTGAATTTAACTTATTGGAACTTGTCATAATATAATGGCATTAATTACCTGCTACTAAGACTGTTATAAACACTCACGTCTGTCACCCAGAGGGGTAGGCAGAGACTACGGACTTCCATTTGGCACGATCCTGACATACCTCTTTCGCCTCCTTTACATCCATATATCTACGCATACATGCTCGTCGGTTAAGGGTACTTCTAACGTGGCCCTTTTTCAAAATATCGCCAATTTGGTCGATAAACTTTCTTCTAGGGCGTCCCTACCCGACTCGGCCGTTCACATCTGCCATATAAATTTGCTTTGTCACTCTTTCCTCATTCATTCTTTCCACATGACCAAACCATCGAAGCATTCCTTTCTTAATCCTGGTCACATCATCTTGCATACCACATTTATCTCTTATCATGCAATTTCTCACTCTGTCATTCAGATTCAACCCTAGCATACTCCTTAAAGACCGCATTTCTACAGCACATATTCTACTTTCGTGCTTCTTCTGCCACACCCAGCTTTCACTACCATATATTAAAGTAGGGACTAACATAGCATTATGAATTACCATACGTGCCTTTTTTGACACATTCTGGTTCTTCATAATATAGTGTAGTGCCCCATTCACTCTATTCCCTGCATTTACTCGTCGTTCTATATCCCTATCATATCTACCATCCCTGCTAAATACACATCCCAAATACACAAACTCATCCACTTGCTCAATTAACTCTCCTTCTATTCTTATTTCACATACCGTTTTGCTTTCTTCTCTTTCAAAAACCATCACTTTCGTCTTACTTGCGTTCACTTTCATTCCCCTTTCTTTTAATTCCCAGTTCATTAATGTAACCATCATTTGCAACTCAGCCGCCGATGACGCAAATATGACTTGATCATCGGCATACAAAAGGCATTTGACGGTTAACTCACCCATTCTTAACCCACATTCTTCATCTTTCAAAGTTTGCAAACAACTGTCCATAAATAGGTTGAACAGCCAAGGGGAAGCTACACAGCCCTGCCTGACACCTTTTTGGATGCCAAACCAGTCCGAGTAGACCCCATTGATCCTGACACAAGCACTAGAGTCCCTATACAGAGACCTTAATGCCTGTATCAAACCAGCGCTCAACCCATATGAGTTCAGTGTTTGCCATAACACATTCCTGTCCACTCTGTCATAAGCCTTTACCAAGTCCATGAACGCACAAAAAACTTTCTGGTTTTTTGGCCAAAAACTTCTCCGCAATCATGCGCATGGAAAAGACTTGATCTGTACACCCCATTCCCTTTCTAAAACCCGCTTGCACAAATTTTTCCATCAGTTTCTTTCACAACTCTTTCAATTAACTGTTATAGTATTATATTAATTATAAAATTATTGAAAAATCGGTGAAATGCAGACTTAAAGAACTGATGCTTTATAGTTCGAAAATAGGTAATCCAAACTTATTTTCCTTTGTATTTGACTTAACTAAAAGCAAAAGTACTTTTAAAACAACACACTATAGTAAACGCACATACTACAAGTAAATAAACATAATGAAAACAAATAAATGCCGTAATTCCGACGCCGCCGGCCTACTTTACATCGGTATAGTATGCCTGTCCATTGTAGAGTCAGCTCGCTCATAAATTTGTCCTACTTTGGGACGGCAAGCATAATGACACCTGATGCACGGCTACCAATGAGATGATCATGTTACAAGTGACTACCGCATGTGGTTTGACCAATTTACTAGTAACACTTGACTACTACCTATTTTTTATTATGCATACACTAACGTAGTAATAATATTAGGCATAATTTTGTCGTTGAATGGTTTTTAGAACCTACAATAATTAATGTCCGATTTATTTATTATATTTTTATCTTTATGTTATTAGGAATTATGTAATTGATAATTAAGATAATAATGTATGTAATTTCTAAACATACCATATAATTAAAATTGTTATTTTATTTTCATATTTCCAGGTGATAATGATAAACAAAAATTTATTTTCATATTTCCAGGTGATAATGATGAACAAATATTTGTATGCCTTTGTAGGCGAAACATAGTGTTACTTGTCATACCTTTTCCTCCAAGTTTGTAACTTTTTACCTATGTTTTACAAATAAATTATTTGATTTGAAGTAAAACATAAAGAGGGGACCTGAATGTATGAGAAATAAAAATGTTTCGAAAACATGTAAAGTTCACCAACATGCACTTGATTGAAGCGGCCGATTAATTGCTTCGTAAACCTCACTTCCCTTAGAAATGAGAGGGTTGTGCCCAGCCGTGGGACGTCTAAAGGCTGCAACTTCACTATCGTAAGAATAACTTTGCTTGCCATGTGGTAGCAGCGTAGGAGAATCCATCACTCCTTTTTGACCAATGGATGTCGTAAAAGGCCAATATGGGATCACGACACGTGAAACAAATTTACTGGTTTTATTCACTCTATAACTATGATATAATATAACCGATTATGAGGTAATAGTAAGCAAAATTATTTATTTTTAAGACAATAATATTCACCCGTAGCAATTTTTTTTCAATAACTAAAAACCAAAACAAAACAGTCGAAATACAACCACATATTTATTGTTGTACGATGTGTGTGTAAGATGTTAATTAGGAACGAAATGAAGGAGACCAAAAATTGCTACATAACCTCTTTGCAAAGGACCTATCATTGTAACCCTATGCCAAACAGGGGAATTATAAGGGCTGATAAAAAAATTATTTCCTATTTGTATACAAATGTTTATTTGTATATAATTTGTAAAACAAAATAAATAAAAAGAAGTGTAACGATGCATATTTTTGAGACTATGTTACTTAACGAGCCGTTCATTCACAAAACAAAACACATTCAAACTGTCGATCGTAATAAAAATGCCGATAAGCTAATTGAACTCGCTTGACCTTAAACATGTCATGTCTTTAGGGTTAGCACGTTTCTGATATCATCTGTCGCTGCTAGACATGAGTATCCTACCAACGGAGAATTGTTTCTTTATCAACACTTCTGACCAGTAGTTTGGTGTAGACATTTCAGACACTCTTAGACAATACGTTTGTCATCGGTATGATTATTTTGACTGTTTTA